GTAAGTGTATCTAACGAGTTTATCTAACCAATATTTGTTACTAACCTGAAAATCTCTAGGTATCCGAAAAAACTCTGGACCAAGTCACCGACATTATGATCGCGAACTCAGCTAACCTGATCTTGACTGTGAAACCTGCTGCTACAGCTCCCTATCGTGCTATACCATACTTCATGCCACCACCCTGCCATATGAGCCCATTTCCCCCTGGATACTACAGTCCCTATGGACATCGGGAACATTTCATACCTCCTGGCTATTGTAGTCCACAAATGACCCAGTCAATGTGCGTACAGAGCAATTTTTATCACTACGCTCCTGAAAATCAACCAGAGATACCTCGGTGAGCAAGAGGAAATTCGGCTCATAGAATCTTATTTCTGCATTGTCACTTTTAGGATACCAATCTCGCAACCTTTCAATGCCACCTCCTTCTCCCGGGAGAGCACCTGGAGGATTAGCGATAAACTCGCCAAGATGTCGCTGCGACATCGCGATTCACCCGATAAGAAAAAACGCCCCTTCAGTGTACATTGTTCAACGCAAAACTCAGTTCAATTATCGCCATATACAGCATATGGGTATTGATTGTTGTCTGTACATTTTGTATAAAGATGAAGTGCCAGGTTTTATGGAACATTTAAGATGTATTTTTAAAAATAAATTCAGTCGTAACGAATGGCTAGCACCAGAGTATTAGCTAAGCCCAGAACATAAGTCTTATACAATTCTTTTTTTATGGGAAATTGTAATGCTTTAGGAGGGCACTTGAAATTGCTAGTTTAGAACTCTTTCTGAATTTGCGGCAGGATATCCTTACCATCCTATGTGCATCACCAATTAAAGTAATTTAACAGATTTCAGCAAAATTTCGGAATGAAAATATTCACGTAATTTCCTTAAAACCAGCAACGGAATGTGTGTCATTGCAAATAACACTGATCTCTGAACCTATTTGACCCCTTATCTTCTCGAAATTTTAAAGAGCGCATTGTTCTGAATGTATCGCATGCACCACGGCTACAATATGCTGTATTTTAAAAAGGTATGGTGCTGATGAAGTGACAATGGAAAAAAAATTCAACTCTTTATTACTTGTTTACTTACTTCTTGAAAGCTGAAAATTCAAATTCTTGACAAAAAAAGTCCAGCTTTTTGTAGAATTTTAAAACTACATTTTGAAATCACGTCACTTTTACGCTGTTTTGGGAG